TCTCATTTATATCATAAAACTATCATTACATTACAATATAGACAACATTGCCAGGGTACCAATTGTTATAAATGTACTTATGTGTATGGTGATACTCAAATAATAATTAAATATAATTTTTAAAAAAAACTTTCTCATTTATATCATAAAACTATCATTACATTACAATATAGACACTAAAAATAATTAATTAGTAAAATAAACAAAAGTCAAATTGATTTCTTATTACACTTTAAATTGTTATATTAAAAAATAAAACCTGTAATTGCAATTTTGTATTTTGTATTTGTATTTCACTTTTAGTGAGAGAGAGAGAGAGAGAGAGAGTTTATAAAATTTAATATTGCCAATATTCAATTCTTGTTTCAAAATAAAATTTTATAAAAATACAAACTTATATAAATTAAAATTACTTATTGTGATTATAATTACTTTTTTATTTAATGAAACAAATACAGTATAATTATATCTTATTTTCAATAAATCTTAATTCATATTTATATACCTTAACACATGATAAGATTTAACAATTTAAATTGTTAAGTTTTATACTTTATTTGTATATTGAACACAATAATAATCACCTACAAAATAAAAATAACATTGATCAAATATTCACTCAATTTCAACAGCCATCCCATGTCCATGAAGTACGGCCCGTAAGTCCTTAGGCTTAACACACTTTCTAGTAATAAAATAAAGCACCGCCAACAAGGCCACAACCCCCATGATCAAACAGGTAACATGGTCACCCAGTGCCAGTGAGACGCCAGCCCCCACCACACCGGCCAACATAATGATCCCTGCTACAAAATTTTCATTACGTCTAGAATCGGAATATTCTTCATTCAAAACCAATTTGGTGTCGGAATTGAGTTTACGCTCAAAGATATCGCCAAACTTATGCCAATACTCGGCACACCTGTCCTCCAGTTCCCTATGGGCCAGGAAATACACCTTATTATCCGAGTGGAGCCACTCGTTGCTGGAGTTCAACCACCGGCGCGCACACGACTGGCGCCGGTATTCTGACTGCAGGTCCGGCCCGTACTTCCTGACCCCCGCGTACAGGCGCTCGACGTTCACCTCAAACCTGCGGATGTGTTGCTCGATATGTTGTGTCAATAGTTGCCGGAAGTCGTAGCCAAACACCCGGAAGTAGTCATCGGCAATCTGAGCATGCTCATTTTGGGCGTCAAAGTAGGGTATATTCTGGTCGAAAGCCATGTACACCTCCGGTATGAGTTTCCCGCACTCCCTGACCAGTGCCTCCCTGTCCCAGTAGTTGTCCGCTGTTTGCAAGTAATTTGTGAGGCGTTCCAGAAAGTGTTGAAAACATTTCTTATAGTGATTGCAGTATTCAATGAATAGCTCGAAGTCGTGGCTCAGTTTGGTCTCCACGTCGGCCCTGTAGTCCTTCTCAATGAGATAGGACAGGCACTTGTCGGTGGCCTCCCGGTGCCTGTCTATCAACTCCTGTTCCACTCGTATGTCTCGGATGTAGTTATTGAAGTGCTCTTTCATAAAGGACAGGTAGTTGTTGTAGATTTGGTCAAAGGTGTAGATATTGTTGTCGGTTATGCCTTCCATTTGTGTTGTGCCGAAGTTTACTGAAAGTTTTCAACTGTTTAATAAATAAATAGTTAATTAAGTTTAAAAATAACAATTATGATAATACCTGTATTAGGTTTTAATATGTATTAATAATACAGTATTATAGTGGCAAAAGTTTAAACATAATTATTTTATATGTAATTAAGAAAATCAATAGTTGTGAAATTAAAGTAGCTTTGTGCAATAAAATAAGTGTAAATATAGTGTAAATATACTTGTAATATTATATTTTAAAAATTAAACTAGTAAATTAGTATGAAAACATTTTAGTTTAATAATTATTTCAGTTTTGTTAAAACCTTAATTATGCATAATAGTTGTTATTTATTTCATATTAAATGCTGGCAAATGTTAACAAAAAACAAAAATATTCAATACTTACAATTACGCAATCAATATTATTTAACATAAAAGTCTTACTAAACTTTTCGCCAAATAACTTTAATAATTTAATAAAAATAAAAAATATTCACAAAACTCGTTCTCGTTTAGCCATTAAAATAAATATCAATATTTTCACATAAAATAGTCGAAAAAATTTATGTTAAATGAAATCTCCAACTATTTAATGTAAATATTTGTCACTGGCTTTTGCAGCGAAATATATTTTTTTGTGCGATTCAGTGATAAACACATTTCTGGCGTTAAATATACTGCTAATACACTCAACGCTTTTCAACACTATATTTATTATAAGGACTAGTATTTGAAAAATCATTGCTAAGTGTTTTGTTTATGCAATTTATACGACACTGAATGGGTATTATAGCTGAATATAACCGACTGTATGGAAATCACCTTGACACAAGTGGTTATCGCACTATATTTAGATGTTTAATTAAAAACTTTTAGGGAGGGGACAGGGATTGCCAAATGATATGCATGTTTATAAATATTATATTCATTGTATTCGTATGTTATGTGGTATTATTTTATATTATTTATTTTTTTAGTTATATTTATTTATGTAGCATCTGTATGTGTAATTAGTCATTTAAATATTAATAAATAAATAATAAAATATTTTAGTTGACCTGGATGTTTGTAAATTTATGGGTATCAGAAACTGTAAATTTATTTAACTGACAAGTTTAGTGTATGTATTAAATTTCAAAATTATCAAATGGCTGATTTAGATGCATTGATACAATAATTGTATAATAATTATTTTTTTTATAAATTTATTGCCCCTCCCTTTCCCGAAAATAATTCATTAAGCACTTGGATGTCTCTGGTGATACCCATCCATATGTTATAAATTAATTTTCCCTCATTTCTCTTCAGACACTAATTATATTTATAATGCATTTCCTGTGAATTCAGGCTTTTATGTGATGTTTATTATCACAGAATTTATGGGATTATTGCAAAATTCAATCATTGCTGTTATGATAAAAAAAAAGACTATTGAGTCGTTAATTAATCAACTTTTTTGACTGTTTATTATATACACTGTATATTTTTATTCAGTCTTATGCACTATAAGTGCAAAGAAATACAAATATTTTTGTAAATATTTCATAATATTCTATAACTTATAATTCTATAATATAAATTTTTATTTGAAATATACTGTATATATATTACAATTTATTAACTTTTGTTAACAGTACGATAATATAATATTTTATATTTTGTTTATAAAACTTAATAAAAATGCTGTAATGTTATTATTTAACAAAAATTTTAAAGCAAAAACAGTAATAAAATTTTCCAAGAAAACAAGTTGTAATTAATTTTAAAAATTTTATTAAAGTTGGGCCAAATGTGAAAGCGCTATACTTTATAAATATTTTAAACATTTTATTTTCTAAATTAAATTATTTATGAACTTATTGTTTAATAAAATAAAATTATTAAACATGAATTTTAATTTACAAATACTAATATTATTATTAAATGTTAATAACTAGAAAACATTAAAAATTATGCAAATACTTTAATGTATCAGTGTCAGTATGCACGGGCATATTAGGACCATGTATGGAATTACGCACTGACCTAGGTGTCCACATATGTCGCATAATAAAATAACCTAGCCCTCCTATTGCCAAAATAAAACTACCCGAGGCGATAATAGATGGCACTCTCTTATTAAACTCAGCTAGTGCACTTTTAATACTTATTGAAAACCCCTGGGTCATATCTAATTTATCATACAAAGATTCTTGGTACAATTTTAAGCACACCCTGCTAATCTCAAATCCAATAGCAAAACCACCTAGAATATTTTCCTTGAGTCTAAACTGATTGTAAGTTTTGCGGAATATTCTCATAGTATTCCCATTAAGTTTGTCAACAAACACGTCGCCAAACTTATACCAATACTGCGGGCACTTCACCATCAGCTCCCTATACATCAGTAAATACACCCTATTATCGGCATCCAGGAGCTCATTGCTTGCGTTACACCAGCGCCACCACCGGTGCCTCGACTCAAACTCCGTGGTCAGGCACTGGGCGTACGTATCGATCGCGTACTTAAGGTATGACACGATTTGCTTGAAATTTCTGATGTGCTGTTCCACGTGAACCGCTAAGATCTCTACGAAGTCCATCTCAAACATGGTAGAGGTCTTGCCGTAGTACCTAGGACAGAGTTTATTCAACCATTTTTTAAATGTTCATCAGTATATTAGCATAATAGACTGGTGCGTACTAGTCATTATAATTAAAATATCTATACAAAATAAAAACTTATAATTATAATGACTAGTACGTACTGATTGAATGGCCCCATGGCATATAAAATATTCAGAGTTGATGAGGGTTTTAAAATGCTCATTATAACTAACCTAGGATAATTTTGTTTGCCAAACTCCAACAATATATCGGGAACGAGCTTAATACACTCCAACTCAAACTGTTCATTGACTAGTAGTTTATTATCGCGCTGTATAAAATGTACTAGCTTCACCAAAAACTTGTTCATACAGTACTTGTAATCCTTGGAATATTCCATGAATTGTTCAAATTCTGTGTTCAGAATATTCTCGATCTCCTCCATATCCTGCCGGTCCTCCCGTTCCTCAAACCACTGGCTATACTGCCGGAGGGATAGCTCAACATTTTTCTTATGCCAATACCGGAGGTCGGCCTCGCATTTGATTTGGTTGGACAGGTAGTATCGGAAGTAGGTCTTCATAATAGACTCATAGGATGCTATTATGAGGTCAAAGTGCTGGCCATAAGTTGCCGGCTGTTCATTGCTGGTAGGGATCAGCACGTCATCGATGGACTCCTCGCTGAGCACATCCTCCATGAGCTCATCCATGGACTCATCCATTGTCTCATTGGGTATAATAACCGGTTTTTTGCAAATAAATTACAAAATATTTAATTAAAACTACTTTAAAAACAATTACATCAGAAAAACATGGATTCATAACAATATGTATTAAACATTAGATTTAGTTATCATTTATAAGAGACTGATAATGAGTATAATGTCTGTATTGTATGGAAAATGACTGTAATTTTTATCGCAAACTATTTATTATAAAAGAGTCATTCAATACAAGGCTTTCGTTAAATAAATCTCTATTTTTTATATTGTTATCAAACATATGATTGTCTATAGAAAAAAATTGATAAGCTGTTGTTTAGTGTGTTTTTTGAATCAAATATCAAATAATATTATCTGATATGTTGTTACCCGGGGTGGGGGTAGAGGGTATACAAATGTCATAAAGGTTTTTGCTCTCTCTCTCTCTCTCTCTCTCTCTCTCTCTCTGCCTCATTAACTATTTAAAATTCATTGACTTTATATGGTCAACATTACGTAGCATAGGAAATTATATTAAGCAAACTTTTTAATTGTATTTAATAAATAATAAATTATGAAAATTTAATTTTGTTTATAAAGTTATAAATATTATTTCTGCAATAATTATTTAAATTTACTTTAAAATTTTAGATTTTATTGGACACTTATCACATTCAATTATTAATAATCATAAGTTATTTATTTAAGATACTTGTTTTTTTGATACAACAATTCTAGTATTGATTTTTATAATTTTTATTTATTGCTAATCAATTAATTGCATAAATATTTATAGCCCTATGGTAATTATTTTTTATTAAATACAAAGTATATATAACTTTAGAATCAAGTCTACATAAATATAATATAAATTAATTTGAAACCAAATATATATTAATTATAATTAACGGGGTAATATACTTGTGCTGCATTGTTATAAATTTATGGTTAACATTTTTAAAAATAAGATAATAAATATTTTAAATTAAAGATAAGTAAGATAATACTGAAAATTTCACTATCATAAAATACATAATCATTTTTTAAATAAAATTAAAATATCTTTGTAATCAAGTATTTTAAAATTTAAAATAATCTTAAATAAATAAATATCACATTTAAAGTTTTACTTATATTTAACATTTTTTATTTAAATAAATATTTATTAAGTACTTATTAGTTAAATAAAAATGATTTTAATCAATTAACTGCACTGTATAACTCATTAGTACTGAAAATTATAATAGAGTTGAATAGAAAATTAAGTGTAAATCTTAGAATTAACACAAAAGTCAAAATGAATTCAAAATATAGTGACAATAATGCTGAAATGACAATATCCCGGATCAATTTAGGATATATAGTCCATAAAACTGGTTTCTTCAGTCGTAAAAGCAAACCAATTCTGGTGTCCCTTTCCGGACGAATCAATTTCCATACACTGACGGCACTCATGGGTCCGTCCGGTGCCGGAAAGACCACTCTTTTGAAGTGCATTAATATGCGATCAAATTCTGG